AGGGTAAAATAGTCTTTTACCCTTGGAGTCGGGAATAGTGAATTAAGTCCTGATTATGGTTTGTGACCCGATTGTTGATTATGGTTGTATTTGATTCGTTAGCGTGAGGATTCTTCGGTCCAGTAGCCCGCGCATTAGTTGGATTGTCAACGGACTAAGGTGAGTTTGCTCACTATGATGTAGGACAATAGGGATTGTATGTGCTTGTAGTCTTTGTGACTCCTGATGTATGTGTTGTACACCTGTGTGTTTGTTTGTTATACATATGTGGGGTGAAATAGACCCGAGGATGAAATAGACCCGGTACAGCCTTGTGCTGACATATGAGTTGAAATAGACTCAGAGGTGAAATAGACCCGGCACGACCTTGGGCCGACATATGAGTTGAAATAGATTCGGGGGTGAAATAGACCCGGTACACCCTTAACGTGACATATATGTATGGTATGCGGTATTTTGAGTAACTCATTAAGCTTTGTGCTTACAGTTTATGTTTAAAAATGTTTTCAGGTACTTCTGGTTCGAGTGGGAAGGGCCCCGCTTGATCGCAACACATCCACCCATATTTCCACACTATATGATTTTGAAATTGTACTCTGATAACTATTTTTCCTCTTATATACTTTTGTAATGATTGAAATTATTAAACGGTTGAATTCAAACTGAAATTTATACCTTGTAATTTTTAGGAGGTTACAGACAGGACGTGGAGGAATCCCATTGATGGATCGTGCACCACTACTGATCATCTGGTATTGGTACATAATAAACAGAAGACAACATCATGGGTGCTACACTTGTCGCTTTGGGAAACAATCAATTGTGTTTTGGCTTGTTATGGACCGGAGACTATCGTCATGAATTGGAAATAGGCACGTAGGCATCGAGCATCAGGGTTCCAGCGCGAGGGCGAGGGTATGGATCTGGTGCTAGGACGGATCGCAACTGTTAGCTAGGCCGTCCTAAAGATAGCAGTTATGTTATCTTTAACGTATTCCTAGTGGGATATGTTAACAGCGGTGGTGGAGATGTATTTCTAATCACATCTATTGTTCTCTTCCTAGGTCATCAGTGTTCAAAAGAAGTATAATATATGAGAGAGAGAGAGAGAGTAGACACGTCATATAAGGGAGGGTTATGTTCATTTCCAAACTTATAGACTTTATTTTTGGATATATATTTAAATTATTGGAGTAAATTAAAATATAATTTAATAGTTAGTATGTTTAATTACTATTATGCCCCTATCAGTGTTTTTAAATTGATTGTTCAGGAATTAGTAACACAATATTTGTAAGTTATATATGATCCTATCTCATATATATATATATATATATATATATATATATATATATATATATATATATATATATATAGGTAAGTTCAATTGAGAAAATAAAAAAGGTTAAGAATGGGAGAATCATTCTTAGCCAATCATTTATTTTTGCCGTAAAACGCTCCGGCGTACCGGGCCGACGGATGATGAATAATATTTATATATAAATATAATATAAGTGTATTTAGATATGAATACACCACCTCTCTCCGCCACCAAACACCACCAACGCCGCCACCAAAGAGCACCGCCACCACTACCACCTCCACAGCCAACCACCACCAACAACTGACACCTACACTACCATCCACCGCCGCCATATTCGTATAGGAATAATCATTTCCGTTATACTTATTCATATATGAATATATGTATTCATATATGAATATACTTATACATATATAAATATACCTATTCATATATGAATATACTTATTCATATATATTCATATATGAATATACATCTTCATAAATGTATTCTTATATGAATATGATATGTTCCGTCGGCCCAGTACGTTGGAGCACTTAAGCGGCAGATTCAAAATGAGTAGCCCAGATTCATTCCCTCTTTATCAACCTTTTGCCACTAAATTGGAGAAAGTTGAAGGACTAATATCATAAAAGTCCTATATTTTTACCACTAAATTGGAGAAAGCCCTGGTTTTAATTTTTCGTTGACTGTAGACACGATATTTTCGTGGAATTATCACTTGAGAGCTAATACCTGGTGACGAGCAGGTAACCTGTTCTATCCGGTCACCACTAACCATTTCCCTATCCATCACCTTTCACGAACCATAATTGATAAAGGGTTTCATGCATTCAACAAGGGTTTGACGCTAAGAAGGGTTTCAAAGTCCCCAATTTCGCATTTTGAAGCTCTGAAATCGTTGGTGAAGTAAGGTAGAGTAGAAGGGTACATGTATGGAAACAAGAAATTGATGCTTCTGAGGGTGGTTATCTTCGTTTATAGTGTATGGAGTTCCAAGTTTGAACTAACAAGTTGTTTTTTTTTATGAAACAGATGGCTTCTACTTCTGGAACTAAGAAGCCTAAAGGGCCTAAGCTCCCTAAGAAGACATACCTTCCAGACTCTGACTCCTATGATGAAGCATTTGACTTTAGCTTCTTGGATTTTTCTGAAGAAACATTCAAAGCCCCCCCCCCCCAATTATGTGATGATCCTTTTCTTAACTTATTGTGTGACGAAAACATATTAAGGAGGAGTACTAATGGAATGGTAGATGATGGATACATTCTCGGTGGCCAACAAAATGAGCATGCCCACTTAGATGAGGGCGATGAAGATGCTAGTGTCGAGTATAGGGTGCATGATCCCAATGTTACAGAAAGAGACGAGGCCCCGATTAAGACACTGTTATGAATCCCCTGCTCAACTCAGGTTTGCTTTAACTAACTATGCAGTCCATGGAGGATACCAACTTTATTTTGAAAAAGTGATAGAGTGAGGGTTATAGCTAAGTGTGGTAGTGGAAGTAGTGATAATAAAAAAATGTAGTGTCCATTTAAGGTTGCAGCTGGATGGAAGTACAATGAAAGGACATTCCAGATTAAAGTTTGTAATGAAATTCATCTGTGTGCTAGGAATTATCACTTTCGTTCCCTAGTTACTAGCAATTGGTTAGCAAAACACTACCTGAAAGATGTAATCATGAAGCCCAAGATGACATTGCTAGAGATGCAAGCAGATGTGCTACAAAGGTTTTCAGTGAGTGTATCCGTTAGGCAATGCCAAAGAACAAGGGCTACTACAATGCGGATGATAGAAGGGAAGTTAGACGACCACTATGCCAGGGTTTGGGACTATGCAACTACAATTAGGTTGAGTAATCCGGGTACAACTTGCTTGGTGGGGGTAGAAAGTAATATGCGGTGTAACTATTTCAAGAGGTTTTACGTTGGCTTCAAGGCTTTTAGAGATGGATGGAACAGAGGATGTAGAAGGGTAATAGGACTAGATGGTAGTTTCTTGAAGGGGCAGGTAAAGGGGTAGATTTTAACTGCTATTAGGAGGGATGCAGACAACCATGTCTACCCAATAGAATGGGCAGTTGTGAATGTTGAGAATAAGGACATTGGACCTGGTTCATTGAGAATTTGGTTGCTGATTTGAATCTTGGTGTTGGCAATGTACTGGTTGTTATCTCATACCAACACAAGGTGCCAACACCATATATTAGTATATAATATATATTTCTATGTAACACTCATTAGTTTTTACATGTGTTGTGTTTGTTTGTTAATTATAGGGACTTCTACAAGATGTGGCAGACCTACTCCCCCATGTTGAGCACATACAATGTGCTAGACACATCTTTGCAAACCTTAGGAAGAAATTCACTGGATTGGAGCTAAAGAATTTGTTCTGGGAAGCTGATATGAGTACAGTGGAAGGAGACTTTCTTGCTACAATGGAGAAGATAAAGAAGATAACAGAAACATGATACACCTATCTTATGGCAAGGAAACCTGAAACCTGGAGCAGAGCCTTCTTTTCTCATGGGTATGCTTGTAAAGCAGTAGATAATGGGGTCGCAAAATGTTTCAATGACTTGATCAAAGAAATAAGTAAGAAGCCTCTACTTACAATGATTGACGAAATGATGATTCTCCTTATGAAAAGCTTTTATCATCAAGGTCAAGAGGTATCCAAATGGAGGGGTAATTTTGGGCCTAACATACAACTGCAGATTGATGAATTTGGGAAAGATATGAGGTAATGTTAGTTTTTATGGGCATATATCCAAATGTATTATGTATTTATTGTTTATGTGTGTAATTTGTTTGTTTTGTGTGTAGGTTCTGGACAAGGGTACTAAGTGGTGGTGATGTGTTTGAGACAAGGTATGGCTACAATGGATACAAGGTTCATTTAGCTACTCATACTTGTACCTGAAACTTGTGGATGTTGTCTGGCATACCATGTGTTCATAGTCAAGTTAAAATCAACTATATCCACAAAGATCCAATTTAATTCCTTTCTTCTTGGTTGCACAAGGACAAATATGTTGCAACATATAGTCAGAACATACAACCTGTAGGTGGAAGCAACTTGCGGCCAAGGACTGAGTTTATTAAACCATTACTACCCCCAGTTAGAAGGATGCCTGGAAGACCCAAACTAAAGAGAGTGAAGCATGCATCTTAATCACAAGATGCCAAATAACCCTCACAAAGATTAATGGTTCCTAGGGCTGTGAGGGTGGAAAGTGACAACTACTTGTGCATAGTAAGATTTCATGCACAAATGATGAGGTACAACCCCCTGTACCAAAACGGAAGATTGGAATACCTACAAAAGATGAGGGAGGCCAACCTATCTTTGACCAATTCCCTCCAGTTGGGCCTGCTATACCAAGAAGGGATGCTGCTCCTCATGTTTAAGAATCTGGTGATCAAGATGGTGCTCCTCTAGTTTTAGAATCTGATGATCAAGATGGTGGTCCTGTTGTTACTCCTATGAAAAGGACTAAGATGATGGCAAGGAGAGGAGGGAAAACTAAAGTTTTTGGATCAAGGAACAAAACACCAAAGAAAACACCTAATGGTAAGCAACATAAGAGTCAAGCAAAGTAGGATGTATCCCTAACCTGTGATGAGACTGTTCATGATCTTTTCACCCATACACCTAATGGTAAGCAACTATGATTCAAGCAAAGGAGGATGTTCAGGAACAAGAGAATGACAATGAGGTGAAGGTGAATGAAAGACTAACCTTAAAGAAGTTGCTACAGTCTGGATATACACATGCTGATGCAGTAGCCACTATGAAAGAGGTATGTGTTGTTACATTAGTTTTTGGCTTTCATATTGTAGATTTACTAACTATACTGCCATACTGTAGGTTTATGGAGAATTTGGGGAAACAGATGTTGATGAAAGAGAGGCTGAAGAAGGAGAAGTTGAAGAAAGAGAGGCCGAGGAAGAAGAATTTGAAGTGAGAGAAGTTGGAGCAAGAGTGGTACCCTTGGGTCCTGGTTCTTACAATATCCACTGGAAGAAAAAGATGACTCCCTCTAAAAGAATTAGGAAACTGAAGCTCAAGAAAATGGTCCAATATGTTGATGGTGGTGGTTCTACCAAAACCCCTTGGGTTTTAGATTAAGAAGTTGTGTTTAAGGGTTGAGTGGGTAGAATGGGCATTAGTAAATAGGTTGCCCTTTTGTAAACATCTACTTTTGGTACACTTGTCTTTTGGTAACAAGCTTCCAATTCATGTCCATAATGTTTGGTAGAATTGGAAGTTTAGTTCTAATTAGGTTACATGGCATGGTAGTGGTTTGAGGGAAGCTTTGTAAAGTACATTCCCCTTTTTGGGTTGTTAACTGACATTAACATTTGTGAAGCTTTTTAAACTACATGGTATGATTGTTAAGTTATCAATATATGTGCCTTCATCACTATAATTGTTGTTACCTTCCATGTTTTGGTTAGTTTGCTAAGTAGGTTGTTATTAAATTTTCTAGATCTGGTCATTTTTATACATATGTATGTGTTAAAGGTATTGCCATTACTAAGACATAATACATTGTTATCATTAAGACATAATAAGTTGTTATCATTGTCATCTCTTACAACACCAAAATATTACCATACATAACACATGCATCAACTTACTGTCTAACTTGACCAAAATACCCTTACACCTAAACTACTACTACCATTCCACCTGAACCTAACTAATGCCTACAACTTCACAGTGCTTTAACCACAACATTGTGAACCATAAACCCCATCACAATCACCACCACCAAAAGCATGACCATCATAAGTAGCACCACCTTCAATAGGTTTAAAATATCCACTTGAACTGCTTTGTTGTTCTTGGCCTCCTCCGAAAGCTTCGAAATCTCCATTCCAAATGCTTTATTGTTCTTAGCCTCCTCCAAATGCATATGGAACTTCCACATAGTTTCCTTGTAGTAAGTGTTTGGCAGTGGTGGATTAATCCATAAAAAAAATTCGTATTTTTTTAGTCCTGCACAACAACCACTTCTTCATATTGGTTCAACAAGACCACAAAAAGAAGTAGGAAACTTGATATTACCTAATAGTTTGGACACCCCTTTAATTTCCTCCATGGATTATCGACAGTTTTGGAGATCGATAATGTCGCAGGTTCATCACACTCGTATCTGAAATCTTCAAACCAACGATTCAATAAAACCATTCTATGTACCCTTGTCTGTGCGTGTTGGAGGAGCTTACCATCTTGCAGGATTGACGTTGGAGAGAAGAATGGAACAAAACCTAGCTAACAACTACCTCCAACGTTCGTATTTCTTTGTAACCTGCTGAAACCGGTGAAACTGGCACTTTGCCCTTTCGCCATAATTCTATTAAAATGTTGTGTCCACAGTCAACGAAAAATTAAATTCGGGACTTTTTTCAACTTAGTGCCAAAAACATGAGACTTTAGTGATATTAGTCAAAAGTTGAAAGACGATTTCAAAGAGAAAAGACCATACATTAATTATATAACAAAACATGCATTTCTTTGTTTTCTTTGTTTTGCATTTAACCTTAACAAAATAAGTACCATTAACTTCTAGTTAGTCTTGTATTAATTAATTAAGCCTTTTGTTAAGTTATTGTGGGTTTATATTTGATGCCAACAACAACAAGATGTGAATTTTGATGATTTAAAGAAACAATGTTTAATAAATATACAAATTTAAATTTACAACATCAGGATTAACTGAACCAAACGGAAGACTTATAACTCTTGATTTTGGTTAGAGGTCGGTTATGAAAATATAGTTTAAAGTAGCTAGATATTGGGAAATGGTATAGAATAAGAATATAAAATATGCATGGTAAGTTTGACTTCGTTTCTTTTCTTGTGAAGACTACAAGTGTTTCAATGTTTGTAGCTTGCTTCTTCCATTCCCCCAAATCTTTGGTGCGACCCATGCATTTTGTGGAACTAGAATCTCTTGGTATGTACGTAAATAACTTTATATATATATATATATATATATATATATATATATATATATATATATATATATATATATATATATATATATATATATATATATATATATATATATATATATACCAATACAAATTGATTCTGTTTGCTTAATATAAGACTTTGTTTTATAATATTTGATACTATGAATAAATAATAATATCATTTTTCTCTATTCAACAAGGGGGTTTGCCCTTCAAATGTCTAATTTATCTCGTAAAAAGAATGATCATTTGAATGCAATATATTGGAAACTAACACAGAAAAAGTTCGATTTTATTTTTCGGAAAAAGGAAATAAATAAGAAAATTAGATACAGCTAGCAGCCTCGAGAGTTGCTAAAGGGGGGAGGGAGGGAGGGTCTATCTTTATATTTGTGAAAGAAAAGGATATAATTCATCAACACTCTTCTTCACCATTGCTTCCATATCCATATTTACCTATGAATAAAACTTTTGTCTTTTTCAAGCTGACATGGCTACACCAAATTTTGCCGTGTGACACCTTATCCAAATTAAAATATTGCAAATATCTTCTGCCTGAAGCAAACATACCATTATCACGACTTTTCAAGCACATATTCATGCACGTACTTACCACTCTAATCTAATTAACCTTTCCTTAACAACATTAATTCATACGTTTTTTTCTTATTAATTTACTTTAAAATAGATCTATTCATTTTATCTAAAAAGTTCAATTTATACAAATTTAACTGAAACAATTTTGATCATCGGTCGTTGAAATATATTAAATATTACATTGAGTTTTTAAACAAAGGCCATATATATTTTAGATTTCCATCCATTTCAGATAAACAATAATTACAATAAATTTGAATCATAATAAAACATATTGTATAGATTTCCAAAAACTAATACAATATCAAAATAGATTGAAGTCCAGTCTTCTTTGTTGCTCTCCACCTAGATCAGTGTGGTCCAAGTTTATCTTGGATGAAATCAATATTTTTGTTTAGAGGTGAGCACTTATCAGAGACAGAATACGTATCAAAGATAACCAGATAGAGCGTGACGTCATATTGTAACTGGATTTGTTCCCAGCTGCTTCATTGGAGATGGAGATCAAGCTTGAGGCTTTCAAGTGGGTTAGGAACGTGTTATAAAAATAACTTGGATTGTAATGTCGGGTGTAATTCTCCAACTTTATTCCTGGTCTAATTATGGTGTTTCCGTTCCCATTATTAGCTTCTTGCTAGCTTCGGCTTTAATAAAATTACAAAAGTTGCTATTAAGAAAAGTAGCAAAACAAATATTACCGATCAACTTTAGGTGCCAACTTTTATATTTTTCGGACGGTCTTGTTTTTTTTGAAATATTTTCTTAGGGTAAATAATCATCAAAATTAAAAACCTTAAATTATATACGAATCGTCCCTCATACAGATGTCAAAATGCACGTTTATTCTCTATTTTCAAAAACCAGGTATGAGACTCATTTATTACATGAGTTTATTTAAAAGAAAAAAAATAAATCATTTGAGAAGTTTGAATTTATAACAAAAATGAGAAAAATAATAAATTATTAAAATTAAAGTGTTTTTTTTCTTTTAAATTTAAACAAATAATTTAGATAAATAAACAAAGGAAACTAATGATGCTTTAATTTGAAATTTTTGAAATTAAAAAGAAACTCAAATAATTAAATTGATATGCATTTAATATTACATTTATTATAATTATTACATTTAAATAGTATGTGAAATTTAATAAAATAAAATAAAAACCATAAAATAACATGTGGAAAAAAAAATTAATATAAAATAACTACAAAATGACATGTGTCAAAATAAATGAGAGTGTAATATGTGGCAAACAAGATCTTTATTTATTAGAGTAGTAGACGAATACCCGTGAGTTGCGCGGAATAAAATTATACGGTTAAATTTTTGGTAATCATACGTTATTGAAAATATTTATGTCATTTTTATTAACTATAAAATAATAATAATTACATTTAGTTATGCAAAATTTTAATTAATTTGAACAATAAATAATATAACACATATTAAAATCAAATCAATTAATGGTCTCTGCTCACACTTTACATGTGTATAAAATTAGTTGTGGTGACTTAGTAAGACATGTGGAAGATATGATTAATAAATTATTGACCCATATTTAAATTATCGCAATACTCCAGGATATGATGCATAGCCTTATATTCGCATTGATGGATTATTCGGACTTGGAACCCCTATTAAGGAAGTTCTCTATCCAGAAAAAAAATAGTTATAATACTCACTATTTTAATTAACTATTGTTATAATTTATTAAATTTTAATTTTTTTTATGATGTTTTAGTTTCATCATGAATATTAACTAAATTATCAACAACTGTTTGTAATGTAACATAATTTCTTTTATAATTTCATGTTATTTTTAACTATTATTATTATTAATTAATTAATTAATTTAAAAATAACTTAATTGAATTTTAGTTATTATATTTATCGTATTTAGTAATTTCCTTTCAACTATTTTAAAAAACATATGTTGGATTTTTATTACTTTTGTTTTTAAACTTTACACTATATATTTAAGTTTGTTTGATATATTAATTTAGGTTATGCATTTAACACTATATTGAAGTCGACAAATTTAGTATACCATATTGATAATTCAAGAAGTCTTGAATTTATGATTATGTTTATAATTAACAACATATTTAAGTTAATAACTTAAATATATTATGTGGAAATATGAAGAGTTGGGAGTTTCAAAATGATGTGGTAAAAGAAAAAATGATTCCTAGATTATTTAAATTATCAACCACTATTTTTAATATAACATAATGTAATTTATAACTTTATGTTATTTTTAATTATTATTTTAAATTAATTTAAAAAAAAAAACTCAATTGAGTTTTAGTTGTTATAAAAAATAGTTTTTGGACATCTTTAGTTAATTCAACTTTTAGATTTAAGATTTTTATATTTATCGTATTTAATATTTTCTTTTTAGCTATTTTAAAAAATATACGTTGAATTATTAAATATTTATTTGATATTTTAGTTTAGGTTTTAATTTTTACACTATATTTTTTAAGTTTATTTAATATATAAATTTAGGTTATGTATTTAACACTATATTGAAGTCAACAAATTTAGTA